CTGCTCTGAGCGGGAATCTCATTGTCAAAGCTTGGTGGGCCAGGATGTGCTCCACAAGGCTGTGAATCTTTATGGGGTACTTTCCTTATATTTTTCCTGTGGAGTAGCTGACCAGTCATTTAAACTGCCAATGTTTTGCATGGCAGCCAAGTTCTTTACCCTTGCTCTACCAGTGGTCCAATGGTTAGTATTCAGCGCATTCACTGCCCTGGCCCAGGTTTAACCCCAGTCAAGGAAGCCTTCTTCTATGGGAGCCCTGGTGGTGTAGAGGTTATGTGTTGGGCTGATAACCACAAGATCAGTAGTTCAAAACCACCAACCCCTCCATGGGAGAAGGATGAGGATTTCTACTCCCATAAAAAGTTAATCTCGGCGCCTTTCCATTGTGGCCATGGCGGCCGCAGACTCCACTGTGGTAAAGTGAGTGGAGGAACTTGGGTACTTGGCTCAGACCCACATACAGCAGCTTAGTGAGGCGGCCGGCGAAGACCATCATTTTTTAATTCAGGCCTCTGCAGCTCTAGAAAAATTGAAACCCCTTTGTGCGGAAGACAAAGAATGTTCAAACCCAGCAAACCTTTTAGAACTTTACACACAGGCTATTTTGGACATGACATATTTTGAGGAGAACAGCTAGTAGATGAAGATTTTCTTGAACACTCTTCTTTACAGAAAGTAAAAGATCTACTCAGTTTCCTTTCAGAACCAGAAATTTGAGTAAAGGAAAATAATATACATCCAAAACATGGCGGTTTGCTTGGGGATGAGCTGCTGGAATGCCTGTCTTGGAGAAGAGGAGCCCTACTCTACATGTATTGTCATTCTCTGACCAAACGGAGAGAGTGGCTCTCAAGAAAATCTGCTCTGCTTAAAAAGTACCTTGTTGATGGAATCAGTTACTTGCTACAGATGCTAAATTATCGATGTCCTATCCAGCTAAATGAGACAGCTAAATTACTGAGAAGGAACTTTTAGTGACATTCATTGCTGGCTATGATGTACACTGGAGAAATGTGTTTCTGGGGATTGAAGTATTGTGCAAATCGACAGCCAGAAAAGCATGCAGTAGATACTGATTCTTCTGGAGCAAGCTGTTTTACACGCAAAGAACCCTTGGACTTCCGAGAACTAGGGGAAAATATTTTGAAAAAGTATGTATATGTGTGTGAAGGACCTCTGAAAGAACAAGAATGGAATACAACAAATGCAAAACAAAAAGTTAATCTCAGAAAACCCACAGGGGAGATTCTACTATGCCCTTTCGGGTTGCTGTGAGTCAAAAGCAACTCAATGGCAGTCTTGCTTTTTTAATTATTCTTACCAGTGCCCTTTAGCAAATATAATCACTCATTTTTTTCAGTCTCATAAAAAGGGGAGGCACCCTGCAGGTTTTGTAGCACCCCTAAACAAAGGACCCTTAGACTTAGTTTAGGTAAAGGTGCTTACCAGATTCTCTTTTGTTTAGCCACCCCAACCTCCTGAGTTAACCTGGCAGAACAGTCTGAGATGGGATACAGAGAGAGAGAACACCTGGATTTC